CATAAAGCCAGTCTACAGATCACACTGTTCATGAAGTGTTGGGGTTACAAGCAGGTCAGCTTTTCATCACATCATTTAGACACCAGCTATACAGAAAAGGGCACCCAGAAATGGATGTCTTATTGCTTACCCCTGCATCCAGGAACTGTCTGCACTATCCATCTTCAGTCTCAATTATACAGGAATTTTTGAAACAACAACAACAACAAAAAGAGTAGCACCATGAATACCAGAACTAAGGAAGTCTGATGTTCTACCAGCCCTTGTGACTGATTGATACTGATGTCTGGAAAGGTGCAAGCCCAGACTTGGCTTACACAGGTTTATTCCCATGGAATTCAATATTTAACTGAGATGAGAAAGGCCAAGGCACAGCTGGGGCTGAACTTGGTGAGAGATGCAAAGGAAAACAGGAAGGGCTTCTATAGGTACATCAACCAGAAGAGGAAGGTTAAAGAAGGCATCCCCCCCACCTTGAAGAATAGCTATGGGGAATTAGTGCCAACAGATGAGGAGAAGGCCGAGGTCCTGAAGAAGTTTTTTGTCTCAGTCTTCAATGGCAACTTCTGTCCTTGCAGCTCTCAAGTGGATGGCCCACAAGACAGGGACCAGTGAGACAAAGCTCCTCCCACAGTCAAAAATGACAAGGTTCTTGAATGTCTCAGGGGCCTTGGGGCCTGATGAGATGCACCCCAGAGTACTGAAGGAATTGGCTGATGCAGTTGCCAAGCCACTGTCGATAATATTTGAAAAGTCCTGGCAGTCAGGTGAGGTCCCTGGTGACTGGAAGAAAGGAAACATCACCCCTATTTTTAAAAAGGGTAAAAAGGAAGACTCTGCGAACTACCGCCCAGTCAGCCTCACCTCTGTGCCTGGGAAGACCATGGAACAAATCCTCCTAGAAGAAATGCTAAGGCACATGGAGGACAGGAAGGTAATTCAGGAGAGTCCGCACGGCTTCACCAGGGGCAAGTCCTGCCTGACCAATCTGGTGGCTTTCTATAATGAAGCAACTGCATTAGTGGACAAGGGAAGAGCTGTAGATGTCATTTATCTTGACTTTCCTAAGGCCTTTGACAGTGTCCCCCAGAGCATCCTCCTTTCTAAATTGGAGAGACATGGGTTCGATGGGTGGACTGTTCAGTGGATAAGAAACTGGCTGGACGGTCTCACCCCGAGGGTTGTGTTCAATGGCTCGATGTCTAGCTGGGCAAAAGTGACAAGTGGTGTCCCTCAAGGGTCTGTACTGGGACCAGTGTTGTTTAACATCTTCATCAATGACACAGACAGTGGCATCGAGGGCACACTCAGCCAGTTTGCTGACGATACCAAGCTGGGTGGTGCAGTTGACATGCCATCAGCTATGGTTGAACCTGGTTATCAGTTTCAGCATTATTCTGATTTCCATAGGAAAACAGAAGAAGCTTGTGTTTCGTCTTCACATTTTTATTTTGACTGAAAATTCCTCTCGTTAATCTTCACTTGTGTCTTCAAACAGCAGCACAGATTGTCATTTCAAGAGCCCCAGCACACACCACAGTGGAGCATACTGACCAGTGGGTGCCTTGTAACATTGTACTGGATACTGCATTGTCTTTTTCCCCCCGCAGTTCCTAGTTCATCCTGAAACTTGAGCTTGGATGGTAGTTCTGAGGTTATTCCATTTCCTACTCTGATCTAAATCACTTTGGTCTACTATTTTTTCAACTCTGTTGTACCACATGCCCTTTTCACCGTCTGTTTCTAAATATAACTTCTATGTTGGCATAGACCTGAAAACAACTAAATAAAATTCTTGCCTGCTGTCTTATTTCTTCACTAAGCTGAAGAGCCCGTTTTGGTTTCCCACCTCTTCTTTGCCTATAGATGTTGGGAGCCCCATTGCTAAGAGAAGGGCCCTCTGCTCAGCTCCCGCTGCCTGACGCAGCACCCCCTCCACAGGGGGCACATCTGGGGCAGCTGGGGCAGGCACTGCCTGACCTGAAATTAGTTTTGCAGTTGGCCATGTTTCAAATGGGACTCTTAACAAGACAGTGAGGAAATTTCATCTTGTTAAGGAGTAAGAGAGCCACTTGGAGGTGGTAGTGAGCAAAGGTTTCAATGAAACTATCGTTTACCCTCAAACTTAACTATGATAAAAAATTGAAAATCGAGAGCTGCTGTATGCCTACGAACTGTGCTATAAAATCAGGTGCCATAAAACTGAGAGGATATAAATTTGCAGACTATTTTGATTGCTAGTGCAGATACATAGCTGTTAATGACCTATGCCTGATACATTAGTGGCAACTGAGACAAGTCTGGCTTACTCCATTTTCAGTAAACAGAGCATGAGGTTGGCTGTAAATGGTCTGTTTAGCAGAACAGACTGAACATATGAAAAATTATTCATTACAAGCATTTACAACCCACACATGTCATTTATATCATTTGACCACTCAACATAAAAGGTTTATTGGTTTTGTCAAAATAAGCTGCAAACATCCCTAATTGGGATGCAAATTTAATGCACAGTTTAGCATTGCTGACAGCTAAAAGGCTCACACAGACATTTCCTTACATTTTTTCACTTACGTTACAGACGGTCAACGGCAGCTACATAGTAAAGAGCCAAAATTATTTAAAAAGTGTAGCATTCTTTTCTGACAATTTTTATATGTTTGTCAGTATCAGAAGACTGAATTTAGGATTTTCTTTTCTCACAAATATACAAAGTGAACAAATTAGGCTTTGTAGTGAAATAAAGTATGTGAGAAATCTTGAAAAGTTATAACTTTCTAATATTTTTCAGACTAACTGCAACCCAGTTTCTACCAAATTCTTTGTACAGGTTTGATAACTCCTAGCCTCCAGTACCTGCCTACTGACAGAAGAGGTTTAAGTTACAGATCATGAAGTATTGCTGCATACTTCCATTTTCCAGTCACTGAAGTGAAGTTCAATGCATGTAAATACCTGAGACATTATGTTGGCTAGCACAAGCCAGATGAGGCCTAGCCTACACCCTGTGAAATTCAGGGTAAGATTTGCGTTGATTTTAATGTGAGTTTGACCAGAATTATTTGCCATATCTGTATGTACAGAACTGTCTATAGCACTCATGCCAGCTGGCCTAGAGAGCCCTATTAACTTTATTAGCACTATTAAATGTTATTACCATTCAAAACAGATTGGCTGCCTATTAGGAATGGTTTCTTGTCTGTGCTCCTAAGCCATACCAAGGAACAGTGTTGGCTGGCCTGGGCCACAGCTGTGCCAGGGAACATTTAACAGCACAGATGACTGAGTTTCAGTGACGCTGCTCAATCGACTAGTGCAGATCTAGCCACTGTGCAAGGCACTGTGCAAGCCACTTTGCACTGCTCAAGCACAAGGCAAACCTCTCCACTTATCTGAAGTTAATGCAATCTAAACCTTCATGATTAAATCATCTTTTGTTTTTGATCGTATGTACAGGTCAGCTGGGCCACTGGTTGACACCACTGAAATAATTCCTCTTTTGTTTTCTAGATGTATTTGAATCTGTGCTGTAGATGTTAACAATTCTCTGTATCACACAAAATATGTATAGAGTACTAATTTCTCTTAGATCACAAAAATCTGAATCTTTCTAATCATGTAATAATTGTTTCTATTATTTTTTTTTTTTTAAATCTGAAAGGCTAGGAAAGCATGCTTATGTCCAACAGTACTACTATTCTTCAACTGCTATGCAAGAACATTCTAGGATTTCCATGGAAGTTGCACACAAGCCCCTTTGTCCTTACCTGCATATGGTTCTGAATGTTCTGCATAGCGATTATAATTTTTTCATTTCTTGATCAACAGAAATGTGTTTACTCCTATCTTAGTATCAAGCTATGCTTGTGCCTTGAGTTTTTAGAATGTATGATTAAAGTACATTGTAAAATACACTTAAATACACCACAAGAAACTTGTAGAAACTTGTGGGTTAGCTGCTCTTGAACAATTCAATTTACTGTAATGATCTGCAAATAAGAAGTTGAGCTTTTCTCCATTTACACAATGTTGCCAACAAAAATACCAGGCTACTCAGAGTGCAGAAAAAAAAAAAGAGGTGTTACTTCATCTGGGAATAGAAGCTGATCCCTTTTGATGTAAAATGCAGCTTCTTATATGTATATCACTACATACTACACCTGTGACTGTTTAACTGTCATCATCTAAAAATCACATTAGTTAAAACACAGTTCAGTAAGTAATGTACTGGAGTTATTAATAATCCATTAGCTGTTGCTCACACAGTCACTCAAAGTTGCCAGTATTACCACATTTTCACTAGTAAAATTTCCCTTTGTTGTAATGGCAAATGTTTCCTTTGTTATGTAAGGGAATCTAAGACTATCAAATAAAATTGCTTCAAGTGAAATTGCAGTTATAAAGATTTTTTTCGTTATTTTATTTTTTACAGACCACATAAAGCCTCTATGCATCACCCTACAAGTCCTGTTCTGGGCTGGCTCACTCACTCTCATATGGGTAAATCCACCCTGTCATCTTTTAACACTATGTTGAACTCTCTTTCGAGTAAATAGCCCCAGTCCCTGGCCAGAATACCCTGTGTACTGCAGCTCTGCCATCTCTTCAAGCTTAGCTCCTTACTTTGCAAATACAGAAAGGATTTCTAGGAACTGATTTTTCTCATCTAAGCCAATTCACCACAAAAAAGTGCACATATATCTAACATAAGCATAACCTACCCATATCTTGATTTGTGCCTTTTTACATTACTAACATGGTATAAAGGGAAATTTGTAAAAATAAGAATTCAAACACGATTACTTTATCTATAGTCAGCTTTGCTTATAAAGTGAGAAATACAAATCCTTGGTTTGATTCTATTAAAATGCTATGGATTTCTGCAAAACAGAGAGGCATGTTAGTCACTGTTTATTACTAAATACCACAGAAAAATACAGTGTTAATTATACTGCCAAAGCTCTTATCTGCTTGTCAGTTGCATTGTATGAAGAACTTACTTTATTGACTGGAAGAATGTTTTTCACATTGAAGTAGAATCCAAAGTAAACCATGTTAAAAGTACCGTGACGGCCCAGTGTTGCAGTAAGACCTTTGTTGAGTCCTTGGAAGCCCAGACCATCCGTTTTAATGATCTGCCGAGCTTGGACGAAGCTAGATGGTTGCTATACAAGTCAAGCAAAAGAAGGAAGAGATCATCTTTACAAAAAGAAAACAATAAGCATAGCATTATTTCAATCCTGTTGACAGACAGCATTGCCAATTCTTATCATTTTAAGTCTCACCACATTTGTTATTTTCCCTTTCCTGTGATCATGTAAAAGTCACAACATTCATTTAAAAAAAAAAAAACCTCATTTTTCTGATAGCAGAAAAAAAGATGAAAGCATGACTTGAGTACTATAAAAGACTAAGGATCCCTAAAGCAAAGAAAAAGATCTTTAAATAATAATGTAAGAAAAGGTTTTATAGAGCAACAGGTAACTATGAATTGGAAATCTTGTTTTGCCCTCCTAATGAATTATTTGACTTAAAAAGTGTAGTTGGACTTTGAATATCAGAACACCCATTTAAATTCCCAGGTACAGATTTAGGAAATTGACTTTAGAAACCCCATTTTGAAAATAATGGCCAAAAGGCATAGAAATCATTTTAGTCTGTCTACTTCCATTTAACAAAAGACAGAAAGGAGGAAACTTCCTCAGAATCTACTTATATAATGATCAGTTCCTCAGAAAGCATCTGTCTGACTACATATACATTTGATCTATTTTCCAATATACTGTCATATTCGGAATCAAGTGTTCCCCTTCTGAATAATTTAGATTTCTCTTTAGCAAAATTATAGAAAAGTTCTTTTCAAAAGGTTCCAGACTTGAGTTTCACTTTGTCCAAAGATAAAGCCAGTTCTGGGTAACCAAATATTGAATTAGAAAGGCAAAACATGACTTCCACTAGAAGGCTCAAACATGAAAATATAGAAGAATTTTGACTACAACACTGTGAACACCACTAATTTCAATACACTTATTTGCTTAATGGCTTTTCATTTCAAAATACCACTGGGGTAGATCAAAAGCATCAGCCAAATGACGCCTATTATATCTGTCACAGCATGTGACTGCTTATTTAGGTGACAGACAAGTTTAGTTTTTAATACTAAGTATCAATCTGTTTTTTCCTATTTGGTAACTAGTATTATCCTGTTAATGCTCTGCACACATTTTACTATAGTTTATTTTTCTAACTAACCCCAGGGATTCAAATCAGAATCTATTCTAAAATGTAGATACCCAACAAGGAATATGATCCATCCTTTCTTATGCACAAAAAATGAGGATTAGATCTTTAAAAAATAACTAGTGGTCCTGAATAAAGTGATTTAAGTTGAATACAGCAACTTTCAATAGTGAAGTATGCCTTAGTCTCATCTTGAATAAGGATTTACTAATGACTCAGAGGGGAAACCTGGCACCTGCTGAAACAT